CTGGGCTTGGGCAGAGGAGGGGACCCTGTGGGCACCCAGGACACCAGCAGGCCAACGGGGCATGTTCCCACTGGTAATTAGTTCCAGATGTGGCAGCATGGCCTCTCCCTGACAGGGAGCCTGGAAGATTCTGGAAATGTGTTCAGGACCCAGCCAGGTCTCTTTGGGGGAAAAAAATTAAAGGAGGAGGAAAAAAAAAAAAAACAACCTCAAAGACAAATCTTTATTGAAACATTTCATGACACGCACACCAAGTAATTGATTTCCTTATTAGTAGCAGATTTTTCTCCCCGCCTCTTCTCTTGCCTGAACTTACAAAAGCAAAAGAGGTGGAAAACCAGTCTAGTACAGACCCTGAACCGAGTCCTGTCCCCCTGCCCCTTCCCAGGGCAGGTTAGCAAGGGGGCAACATTTGCTTTTTCAGGTCTAACTCTAGGTAGAGGGGCAATGATCATCTGGGGGACCAGGTTTCAAAAGCCTGGGGAAAGCCCTCTGTCCATCCCTCAATTTCTTCTTCTTCACCTCCAGCTGCTATGAAATCTGACCATTAGTGAGTCATTCCATTTTCTTTCTTTTCTCTCTCTCTCTTTCTTCCTTCCTTCCTTCTTTTCTCCCCTCCCCTTTCCTCCCCTTCCCTTCCCTTTCTCCCCCACCCTGCTCTCTCGCTTTGTTTTTTGAGACAGGGTCTCACTCTGTTGCCCAGGCTGAAGTGCAGTAGCAAGATCATAGCTCACTGCAGCTTCAAACTCCCTGGCTCAGGCAATCCTCCCACCTCAGCCCCTCGAGAAGCTGGGACTACAGGTGTGCACCATCATGCCTGGCTAATTTATACATATATATATATTTTGTTTGTGTGTTTTTGAGATGGAGTCTTGCTCTGTCACCCAGGCTGCAGAGCAGTGGTGCGATCTCGGCTCACTACAAGCTCCAGCTCCCGGGTTCATGCCATTCTCCTGCCTCAGCCTCCCGAGTAGCTGGGACTACAGGTGCCCACCACCACGCCTGGCTGATTTTTTGTATGTTTTAGTAGAGACGAGATTTCACTGTGTTAGCCAGGATGGTCTCGATCCACCTGCCTCGGCCTCCCAAAGTACTGGGATTACAGGCGTGAGCCACCGTGCCCAGCCAATTTTTATATTTTTTGTAGAGATGGGGTTTCACCATGTTTGCCAGGCTGTTCTTGAAGTCCTGGGCCCAAGTAATCCACCTGCCTTGGCCTCCCAAAGTGTTGGGATTACAGGCGTGAGCCACGACGCCTGGCCATTCCATTTACTTTGGGCTTTCTTTCACATCAAAATGCACGTATGGGCAGTTCCCTAAGCACCCCTTAGTCGTTTACACAGAGCTCGTGCAGTGGACTCTGGGAGCCTCCTTCCCACCTGTAAAATGGAGGGTTCCGTTGTCAATGTCATGGGGTGGCTGTGGAGACTAATTGAGATCATCTGTGTGTCTTCCAAAGCATGCTGTAAATGTAGCTGTTCCAATTACGTGACAGTGACCTTCTCACGTGTGGCACAGCCACTAATGGCACAATTGAAGGCCTGGGAGTTCTCAAGGGGACTAGGCCTTGCACTGAGCAGAGCAAGCAGGGCATGCTTCAGGAGAGGTGGTTAAGGTCCCTCTCGGGAGACCGTTGCCCTCCAACTAGAAAGCCAAAGCTACCTCTCAGTCTGGGCCTGTGGCAGGTGGTGGCTCACTCTAAGGGTTCGTGGAAAGGGAGGGGAAGACACTTTACCCAAACATTCCAACAGATGCGTTAGGCGTGTTGTTATCCCCATTTGTCAGAGGAGGACACTGAGGCACGAGGGGTTATACAAGCATACCAAAGAGCACCCAGCTATGAAAGGGGAGGCAGGGATTTGAACCTATATGCCATTTATTTATGTAAAAGCAAGGGCAGCCCCTCCTGTGTAGATAGATGCACTCACCTACCTGTGAGGATATCTGATCCAGTGCTCCCCTCCTTCTCCAGTGCCCTGGCTGCCTGGCTCCTTTCCCAGGCCCCAGCCCTCCCCACATCCAGAAATCATAAAGGCACAACAGGGGCATCCAGGACCCTGCTATGATGGTGGATGAAAGCATAGGCCAGGAGCCTGAGGCCGGGCTGGTGTCCCTTGCTGTGATCTTGTGACCGCCTTCTCACATGGGGTGGGGACAGCGGCTAGGAGCCGGAGTCCAGGCTGGGCAGGCAGGCCTGCCGTTTGACACGTCCCCTTCCATTCCACGCGGACTTCCTGCGAATGACCAGAGGCCTCTATGCAGTTCCTGTTCCCAGCGGCTCACAGTCGCCAGGACCAGGGAGACAAAACGTCCCTGAATGCGGTGGGGCAGGGAACAATATGGGGCGGGCGGAGGAGGGCCACAGGAAGTGTGTTAGGGACAGCCGGAGAGCTGGCGTGGGGCTGGGGGTGACTCAGGGACTTGTGACTTGATAAGGTACGATGACTCCGAAGGAAAACAGCCGGAGTCCAGTGGGGGCGCCGAAATGGCGGACAGGACGGGATTTCTGGCGCCTGTGCAGACATGAGTTCTTGAGTCCCCACAGGCCTCCCTGCAGCAAAGGACCTTAAACAATATCCAACCAATCACGTTATAATCCCTGGCTCTCTCAGGTAGGGATGATGATCCTGACCTCACTGAAAAAGGGACTGAAGGTCAGAGAACAGAGATAACATCCACCATTCCAAGGTCACACAGGAATGTGCAATGGTACCTGGATACACACCAGGCCAGTCTGACTCCAGGGCATGTGTGCCCAGCTAGACTTCCTGGCACTCAACCCTGACCCTTGTGGTCCCCCAAAACCAGACACTCCTGTATTTGAGCCCAAAGCCTCTTACTGGGTCTTCACATCCTTGCTTGCAAAGCCAGAGCCCCCATCATACCCCACCAAAAGACCCCCAATATACAGGGCCATTTTGCCATTAGAATTTAGAGTTTACGAAAATGTTTGAAACTGGGGAAAAGAACACCTCTTAGCTCCCAAATATAACAAGAAAACTGCAAGTTAAATTAATCATCACAGTGTAAATCACATTCACAATGGGATCTGTGGGTTTCAGATGCCTGATACGGAGTGGGGATCTCAAAACTAAGAGTGCCAGGGTGGAGGAGAGACTCCAAACAGCCCTGGCCAGGCCTTGCCCTGCAGCCTGAGTGTTAGCATCAGCAGTGGTGTGCTAGGACTGGGAGGCTCTGCCAGCTATTATCCAATCAACTCACTTCTCAGAGCCTCAGTTTCTTTATTAGTCAAATGGGACCATAGCTAGCTAATACTGGGTTAATGGGAGGGTTAAATACAATAATGTGTGCAGGGAGCCAGGCCCCATAGTCAGAGCTCAGCTATTGTTCTTGCCTCCTCAGGCGGCCCTGCCCAATTTCAGGAAGTCCTTTTTGGCTGGAAGCTTCTTAGGATGAAAGAATGTTGGAGAGAGAAGGCCATTAGAAAGAAAGCAGAGCCCGCCTCTCACAAGGGAGGGTGACTTCTGAAACTCAGGAGGCCCCAGGCCTTCAGCTCTGTCCCCACTGCCATTCTCTGCCTACACTCTGCCCTTCCAGCTTCACTTTTCCAGCCTCGGGCTCTGATTGAGTGCATGGCCTTCCCACTACCCCCTCACCCCCAACCCCCACCCTCTGACCCCACCAGAGTGCTGGCAGCAGAGTCCAGGTCAGGCCTATCTCTGTATTTCTTTTTTTCATTAAACAAAAACAAAAACAAAAAATAGCTCTGTTGAGGTGTGGTTGGCATACGGTAAACTCCACATACTTAAAGTGCACAATGTGATAAGTTCTGACATCTGTTTACACTCATGAAACCATCATCATAATCAAAATGATCATGCCCACCACTGCCAAACGTCTCCTCGTGCCACTTATAATCCTTGCCTCCCTTTCTGCAAACTCACCTCCACTCCAACTCAGTCCCCAGGTGACCACTGATCTGCGTTACATTACTATACATTCGTTGGTTTATTTAAAATTATTTTTTTGAGACAGGGTCTTCTGTGTCCAGACTGGAGTGCAGTGGAACAATCACAGCTCACTGCACCCTTCACCTCCCAGGCTCAAGCCATACCCCCACATCAGCCTCCCAAGTAGCTGAAGCTGCTGGTGATTTTGTGTGTGCGTGTGTGTGTGTGTGTGTGTGTGTGTGTGTGTGTGTGTGTAGACAGTGTTTCACCATGTTGCCCAGCCTGGTCCCAAACTCCTGGGATCAAGTGATCCACCTGCCTCAGCCTCTCAAAATGTTGGGATTACAGGCATGAGCCATTGCACCTGACCTGCGTACAAGTCTTTACATGAACATAAGCTTTCGTTTCTCCGGGGTAAATACCTAGGAATTGAAGGCTGGATCACAGAGTAGATATGCTTTAACTTTCCAAAGAAACTGCTAAGCTGTTTGACAATGTGGTTGTACCATTTTCATTCCAACCAGCAGTGTAATAGAATCCCAGTTGCTCTGTAGCCTCGCCAGCACTTGGTATGATCAGTCCTTTTGGTTTAGGTATTCTAACAGGTATGTAGTGATATCTCATTGTGGTTTTAATTTACATTTCCTTAATGATTAATGATATTGAGCATCTTTGTATTTGCTTACCTTGTACATGCATATCTTCTTTGGTGAAGTGTCTGTTCAAATTTTTTGCCTTTAAAAATAACCGGGGCTGGGCATGGTGGCTCACGCCTGTAATCCCAGCACTTTAGGAGGCCAAGGTGGGTGGATCACCTGAGGTCAGGAGTTCAAGGCCAGCCTGGCCAACTTGGTGAAACTCTGTTGCTACTAAAAATACAAAAATTAGCCGGGTGTGGTAGCAGGTGGCTGTAATCCCAGCTACTTGGGAGGCTAAGGCAGGAGAATTGCTTGAACGGAGGCGGAGGTTACAGTGAGCTGATATTGTGCCACTGCACTCTAGCCTGGGTGACAGAGCGAGACTCTGTCTCAAAAAAATTTTGTTTATTTTTATTTTTAATTTTTATCTTATTTTTATTTTTTGTAGAGATGGGGTCTCCCTATGTTGCCCAGGCTGAACTCCAACTCCTGGGCTCAAGCAATCCTCCCATCTCAGCCTCCCAAAGTGCTGAGATTACAGGTATGAGTCACTGTGCCCAGCCTTACTTATTTTTTTATTATTGTGTTTTAAGAGTTCTTTATATGTTCTGGGTATAAGTTATCAAATATCTGATTTGCCAGCATTTTCTCCCAGTCTGTGGCTTGTCTTTTTATTTTCTTAACTATGTGTTCAAAGAGCAGAAGTTCTACATTGATAAAATCCAACTTATCATTTGTTTTCTTGTATTGACTGTGCTTTTGTGGTGTATCTGAGAAATCTTTGCCTAATCTGAAGTTACAATGATTTTTTCTTCCAAATTTTATGGTATTAGGTTTTACATTTAGGTGTATTATCTATTTTGAGTTAAATTTTATATATGGTGCAAGATTACATCAGGTTTTTTTTTTTTTTTTTTTTTTTGCATATGGATATCCAATTATTCAGCACCACCCCGCCACCTCCGTTTTTTGCGGAACAGGGTTTTGCTCTGCTGCCCAGGCTGGAGTGCAGTGGTGCTATCATAGCTCACTGCAGCTTCTAACTCCTGGGCTCAAGTGATCCTCCCACCTCTGTCTTCCTAATAGCTGGGACTACAGGTGCACCATACCTGGATAATTTTCTCCTCCTTCTCCTTCTTCTTCATTAAGAGGGAGTCTGACTATGTTGCCTAGGCTGGTCTCAAACTTGGGCTCAAGTGATCCTCTTGCCTTGGCCTCCCAAAGTCCTGGAATTACAGGTGTGAACCACCATGCCTGGTCAGCACTATTTATTGAAAAGACTATCCTTTTCCCCATTGAATTATCTTGGAAACTTTGTCAAAAATCAATTGGCCATTTATGTGTAGATCAATTTCTGGACTCTCTATTCTGCTTCACTGGTCTACTTGTCTATCTTGAGGGCAATGCCACACTGTTTTGATTATTATAGCTTTATAATAAGTCAAACTTGTTTTGGCTATTTTAGATTTTGCATTTCCATATGGATTATATAATTAGCTGGTCAATTTCAAGAAAAAAAAAATGCCTGCTGAGATTTTGATTGGGATTGCATTGAATCTATGTGTCAATTTGAAAAGAATTGACATTTTAGTAATATTGAGTCTTCTGGTACATGAAGACAGTATATCTCTCCATTTATTTATTTATGATTTCTTTACATATGCTTTAATTTTCTATTCACAGGGTTTTTTTTTTACATTTCACTGTATAGGCCTTGCACATCTCTTGTCAGATTTATCTGCTTTTAACATTTTAAATGCTATTGTAAATACTACTGTTTTTGTTATACATTTAGATTTCTGATTATTGACAGTTTCGGGTAACAGGAACTGGATTTACCCTGTCACCTGAAACAACTGAAGAAACAGACAAGGGCTGGGTGCGGTGGCTCACACCTGTAATCCCAGAATTTTGGGAGGCCGAGGCAGGCAGATCACGAAGTCAGGAGTTTGAGACTAGCCTGACCAACATGGTGAAACCCCATCTCTACTAAAAATACAAAAATTAGCCAGGCATGGTGGCATGTGTCTGTAATCCCAGCTACTCAGGAGGCTGAGGCAGGAGAATTGCTTGAACCTGGGAGGCGGAGGTTGCAGTGAGCTGAGATTG